TATTTGTACATATTTTTCCCTCTTTTTTCATTTATAGTTCTTCATTCCCTCTGGCAGCATTGTTATTTTTTGTACAATGTTCGAATGTTCAATAAAGATTTATTTTTAAAAAATGGTCACTGTTTTGGCAACAATGAATTGTGGGTAATACACTTCACCGAAGTCCGTAATAATCCAGACTTCGCGGAAGGGCGGAAATAGTACCCAAAATGGGYGGGGTGAAGGGCGGATGTGGAGAATGTGGGACACACTACGCCCTCAAACCCTTCGACATGAACGCACATTTGAAGTGCACAAGGGCGGAACGAGGGTGGGAGTGGGTATTGGGACAGGGCCTAAGAGTGCACCCCCATTGACTGTGGATCCTGCTCCTTCCTGTCTGTTGACCAATAGGAGAGGAGCAGACCCAAGAAGCTCCGCCCACTTTATATAATGAGGCAGAATTACATAAAGTAATGTAAATACAGGAGACAGAAAAATGTAAAAACAACACAAGGAAATAAAAAGACTTGTGGGAAAAACAATTAAAAAACGTTTAAGAAACACAAATGCTTGTACAAGTAAAAGTAAAAACAAACAAAAAACATATATTTAAACCAGTAAAATGTGAATTATGTGCTATAATATATAATTTTTTGGAACTAAGCTGGAACGATATGTAAAGGTCAATTAAATTATAACTCGAGGTAAAGTTATTATTTTATTTAACTGGTGCATTTTCAGTGCATTTATTTATTTATTTATTTATTTATTTATTTATTTATTTATATGTATGTATTACTTTTTATTGATCAAAAGCTTGTGACAGTGTGGACCACGCTGTTTTAAAGTTTTGACATTTTGTTTGGGAATGACAGATCATGTAGTAGGAAATAGAGATGGTTCACACATACAAATATACTGGGTTCTTGCTTGATGACTGAAGTGGGGGAGGSGGGGGGTCATTAGTAAACCCGATGGATAACCCTTCATCAGAGATAAACAAAACAAATCTGAAGTTCCTATGTTGAATAGTTTTTGAGTTATAAGCACTGATGTATGTTCAGACACCCCCTCTTCAGATGGAGCCCCCTCCTCAAATATGGGGTCTATTGTAAAACCGTTGGCTGGAGCAGTGTAGGTCAGACTCATCTACAATTGTTTGTATGGCATTTTGTGTAACTGTGTGTAAATGTTGTATAAGTTTTGCTTTCACTGGAACTTTCCTGTTTAAATAAAAGAATAAATAAAAACAAATATTGGTCCATTTTTATATTTTTGCTTTTTTTAAATTGTTAGTTTCAGTCCTCCATAACAACATTTTTATTCTTTAGAACAGTTAGCTGACTGCCTCAATCAGGTAAAAGCTTGGATAGAGTCGAGTTTCTGTGTAAATAAAACCAGTTTATTTTGGTCTCAGTGGAAACCAGAGCACTTCTCCAGTACTTGGAGGTATTTGACAGATTTTCTCAGACTGGTAAACCTCTGCCTGTCTTTACCTCTGAAATGTTTTTTTCTACCCATGCACTTACTGAGCTGTAGTTAGTTGCAGCTCCTCCAGCTGGATCAGATTTGGACTCACAGCCTTTTATTGACAACTTTATTTAAACCAATCTTTTGTTTTTATAAAACTGAGGCATCTTCTTGATTTCAACATTTAATATGTTTACTATGGTCAGTTGTGAATAAAATATGGGTTTGTAGACCTGCAAACCATTGAATTCAGTTTCTATTTACACTRAAACACCCAACTTTTTAGGAAAATGGGATTGTTTGTTTTATAACCAATGAATAAAATGTTTCAACTTGCGACTGATGGATTCATTTCAGTTGGTTTGGTTACATGCAGGTACTGTTTGCTTTCTGGCAGTGATATCATTGTGTTTTCAGAGTAACACTGCTTTAACTGACAAAAAATGAAATATTTACTGATATTCATGCACAATCTTTTCATTCACTGTTGATAAAAATAACACTGGTGGGATCAAATCCTTCATTCTTCCAAGCCACATGAAGTGGAACKCCAAACATTTAAAGAAGAGGAATAAATGAAAGAATAAAACCACAGAGCAAGAAGTTGGTTTTACATGCAGTTTACCACACATGCATGAAAGTAGAGTTAACAGCAGGTGGCATGCAGGAGACAGCATAAAGTCTGTACGTACTGTGAGAGCTCTCAGAGCAGCAGCAGTGTGGGGGAGGAGACACAGAGGGGTTAAAGATGGCAGAACACAGACAMTCAGGACTTTCTGACCCGGGACTAACAGAACCATCCCAGGATGGGTCATAGGTCCATTTGGCACGATGCACCAGGTTTCTCTTACATCCAGTTAAYGAGTTTGTTGATGGTGCATGTTTGCAGAAACACACAACACAGTAACATGTTTAAAGCACATATGTTCCTCCACACACAGGACAAAATGAGTTCAGTGTTTATTTGGACATTAAACAGGTTCTCCTTCACCGTTGACACTGAGAGGATGATTTGAGTTAGCTCTGGGTGGTTTGATATTTAGTATTTATTTAAACATAGGCCTATTGTTACTTGTGCTGTCTTTCATTCATCATTTTTATTTTATGTGCTGGAGCTGCTGTCCAGACTGTTATTTATTGTTCTGTACAGTCTTTAGTCCAGTGTGGTGGTTTAAAGTGCTTTATAAATAAATCTGGATTAGATTATAGATTATAGGTTTAATGGCCTCATGCAAGAACCGTTCGCACGCACAGATTTGTTCTTAAATTGTGCGTACGAGTGATTTAGGAGAATTTG